ACCCAAGAAAGAAATCTCTAAGGGTGGTTTTTGACTGTGGAGCTGGATTTAAAGGAACATCTTTGAATTATCAGTTGTTGCAAGGTCCTGACTTTACCAATTCACTTTTTGGTGTTTTAACAAGATTCAGACAGGAGAGCATCGCCCTGATGACCGATGTCCAGGCTATGTTTCATCAAGTGAGGGTGTCGAAAAGACACGTGGATTTCCTTCGTTTTTTATGGTGGCCAGAAGGAGATACGACACAAAGCCCACTGGAACATAGAATGAAGGTGCACATCTTTGGAGCTGTCTCGTCACCAAGCTGTGCAAGCTATGCTTTAAGGAGAACTGCAGCAGACAACAAGGATGACTTTCAAGCTGAAGTGATTGAGACCATATACAACAACTTTTATGTGGATGATTGTTTAAAGTCATTGCCTTCAGAGAAGGAGGCTATAAAGTTGGTTGCAGATCTCACCGAGTTGTGCTCAAAGGGAGGATTTCGACTGCTCAAATGGACTAGTAACAGTCGGGTTGTATTGTCGTCCATTCCTGAAGAAAAGCGATCCAGAACAACCAGGCAGCTGCACCTGGAACAAGAGCAGCTACCCATGGAGATGGCACTTGGACTGAATTGGTGTGCTGAAAGTGACACTTTTACATTTAAACCTGCAGTGGAAAGACGGCCACATACTAGACGCGGCATTCTATCAATTGTTGGTTCCATATATGACCCATTGGGTTTTTTATCTCCTTTCACCTTGCTGCCAAAGTTGCTGTTGCAAGAAATGTGCCGAAGAAACTTGTCTTGGGATGAGCCTATACCACAGACACTTCTACAACAATGGACCGGATGGCTGTCGGACTTGGAGAAGGTGGTGAAGCTCAAGGTGAGCCGCTGTATCAAGCCAAGGGGCTTTGGAAGATCTGCCAGTGCACAGCTACATCATTTTGCGGATGCTAGCAGCTATGGTTATGGCACAGTGTCCTACCTAAGGCTGGTGAGTCAAGAGGAGCGAGTGCATGTTGCCTTTATGTTGGGCAAAGCCAGGGTTGCGCCATTAAAACAGACAACTATCCCTCGTCTTGAGCTCACGGCTGCAGTGTTGGCTGTTAAGGTCGATAGAATGTTGAAGAAGGAGTTGTTGCTGCAATTGGAGGAGTCCCACTTCTGGACAGACAGTCAGACTGTGTTGAAATACATCAACAATGAAACGAAACGCTTTCATACCTTTGTTGCTAACAGAGTGGCTGCAATACGGGAAGCAACAAGTCTCAGCCAGTGGAAGTATATCAGCTCCAAGAACAATCCCGCTGATGAAGCCTCCAGGGGTCTGAGTGTGGATAACTTTCTTGCCTGCAAGAGGTGGTTGGAGGGTCCTGACTTTCTCCAAAGAACGGAAAAGGATTGGCCAAGACCTTTGGAGCCGCAGTCCATCTCTTTAGACGACCCAGAGGTCAAAAGGGACGTCCTGGTAAACGTGATTACGTACACAGAAGATGCGACCTCTAAGCTCATGACTTACTTTTCTGACTGGTCTAAACTTAAAGTCTCTGTGGCTTGGTACTTAAGGCTCAAATCTATTCTTTTGGAGCTGAGCAGAGAAAGGAAGTTGATTCTGGCTTCTTTAGATCCTACTGGCTCATCTTTGGAGGAGAGGATGAGAGAGGTTAGAGGAGCAATTGGTAAACAACCACTTTCTGTGAGTGAGCTCTCTAAAGCCGAAGCTGCTATTATACATTTCAGTCAGCAAGTAACATTTCAGGAAGAAATCTCAATGTTGAAAAGCGGAGCATCGTTTGTGAAGAAAACAAGCAACATTTACAAATTAGATCCAGTGCTCAGTGACGATTTGTTGAGAGTAGGTGGAAGACTTGGCCGTGCAGCTTTGCCTGAAGAGCTCAAGCATCCTGCGATTCTTTGTAAGGGGCAACATATATCTAGTCTCATTTTGCGGTCCATACATCAACAGCTTGGGCATGCTGGACGGAACCATATGCTCTCGACTTTGCGGCGCAAGTATTGGGTTACCAACGCCAACTCTGCTTGCCGGAGAATAATATCTGAGTGTGTGGTCTGTAGAAGACATCGTGGACAGCCAAGTGAGCAGAAGATGGCTGATCTGCCCAGTGAAAGAATAAGTCCAGATCTGCCTCCCTTTACCAACGTCGGGGTGGATTATTTCGGACCCATTGAAGTCAAGAGAGGGCGTGCTATGGCCAAAAGATATGGGGTCATTTTCACCTGTATGGCCAGTAGAGCTGTGCATTTGGAGGTTGCTTACACTCTGACCACGGATTCTTGTGTCAATGCTATTAGGAGATTCATTTGTCGAAGAGGTCAGATCTGCAGTCTACGATCAGACAATGGTACCAACTTTGTTGGTGCAGAGCGAGAGTTAAGAGAAGCTTTAGCAGCCATTGATTACAGCAAGATTCATGGCGCTCTCATAAAAAGGGGCATCAATTGGATTTTTAACACCCCGGCTGCATCACATCATGGCGGCGTTTGGGAGCGACTCATTAAGATAGTCAAGCGAGTTCTGTATTCTGTTCTGCAGCAACAGTCTTTGGATGACGAAAGCTTCCATACCATTCTGTGCGAGGTGGAAGCTATTCTGAATGACCGTCCGATAACCAAGGTGTCTGACGATGTTAACGACTTGGAAGCACTCACACCTAACCACATCCTTTTGCTAAAAGGAAAACCTGTTCTTGCCCCTGGAATCTTTCAAGCGAATGATCTTTACATTAGAAGACGATGGAGACAAGTCCAGTATCTTTCAGATCTGTTCTGGAAAAGGTGGATAAGGGAGTACCTGCCATTGTTACAGGAACGTCAAAAGTGGGCGAGGCCGCAAAGAAGTTTTGTAATGGGAGACATTGTCATCATTATGGATCACACTGCTCCGCGTGGATCATGGATTATGGGAAGAGTGACAAAGACTTACCCAGACAAGAAGGGCTTTGTACGTGCCGTGCAGTTGAAGACTAAGACAGGGCAGTTGGAGCGCCCTATTTCCAAGCTTTTCCTGTTGCAAGAAGCTGTGTAATGGTCATGACCCAACGTTGGTTAACATCCTATCCAGAAGAAAGAAGATCTGAAGACTTTTTGTGTGTCTCCCTGTTTTTGCAGTTTAATTGGTCACACTTTCCCAATTAGGGGCCGGTGTGTGGGAGCCATTAGTTATTGTTGATGTTGTGGTGGTTGTCTACACTAGAGGGCAGTGTGCTTGTGCTACAGTATCCAAGTTCACGGTGGCACAGGCGCGCCAGCTAATTAATACACAGGTGTAGCGGGTGGGGAATTATGCTAGGGTGGCGGGGAGATCACACGGTTTTTACCGCTGGCACGCCACAGCTAGATTAGTCCTCACGTTTGCATATACTTTGAACTCTGTAAACTATATTTTTTCTATTAAATGGGAACACCACCCAAAGACGCTAAACGTTGTGGACTTTAAATTCATCCGAAGTGGACAAATAGCGCGTCAAAGACAGGATCTAGCCCTCACCCTGCTGAGTGTCTGATTAATGTTAAGACAGTCACTACAACAATTAAAAGATCATCCCCATCAGTTCTCTTAACTCAAATAAGCATGACAAATTTTGTGACTATCATGTCCAGTTTTGCTGCTGTTAAATAAGCCGAGAGTGAATCGTAATTAGCTAGTAATAGTTACGTTACGTTGTTACAGTGTAGTTGACTGAGTTAACTTTTGACAATGTGACTGAAGTATTTCTTTAATAGCGCGTGACAGAGACGTATCATCTCTCCTTGGCCTGTTATATTGAAAATGTATGTTTTACAATTTGCAGTATGACATTATCCATTGCTAAATTATGGCTCATCATAGACTAGTTAACTATAAAGCTAGCTAATGCCACTATCATCAGTCTGTTCTGTTGTGACTGTGAAAGAAACAAGTTTCTTTTTAAAATGCTTTATCATATTATTTTAGTTAAAACTCATAAATAACTACAAATAACTAATGTTAGGGAAATCTGTTGATGTTTTGTTGCGCGTTTCTGAAAAAAAAAAAAATCGGCCGATATATCGGAAAATCGGATTTTAAAACTAACAAATATGTGTATCTGTATCGGCCTTCAAAATCCTTAATCGGTCGGGCTCTATTTTCCACCAGAACATCAGAATTAATGTGGTCCAGGACAGGCGAGATTGCTGAGAGAGTTACTCGTGTTTCTGAGGCATCCCTGAACTTGCCCAGAGGTTCGAGGAGCTGGCACAGTTGCTCATGCCGGTATCCTTGGGCATTCGATGCCATGTTCCTCTTTCCTCCAGCCAGTGTTTTACAGACTGGTTGCTGCTGGCTAAGGAACCGCTCAACCATCTTGTGAAGATCCCCATCGAGTCACCACATCATGAATTAGAGCCTTCTGTGGCATGTAAAGGGCAGCTTGTTTATTTTAGTGATGACACTTTGTACTGTGGTAAAGCAATTTTCATCAGCCTCAGAAACCAGGCCTCTCCATAATTTGAAATGGCATCATGTCCTTTGCAATGAAATATGAAATAGCTGCAGTGAGGTCTTGTGCATTTTTAGATGTGGGTGCATAAGCAGTCTGCCTTTAAAATGCTTGTTCATGTAAACAAAGGGGGAAAAAAGTATTATTGTCATTAAAGGGTTAGTTCACCCAAAAATGAAAATTAAGTCATTAATTACTCACCCCCATGCTGTACCAACCCCGTAAGACCTTCGTTCGTCTTCGCAACACAAATGAAGATATTTGGGATTAAATCTGAGAGGCGGATCACTGCTACATAGGCTCCCTGAGGGATCGAAACTTGACGGCCCAGAAAGTCAATGAAGAAAATGTTTAAATATTCCATGTGACAACAGTGGCTCAACTATAAGTTTATCAAGCGACGAGAATACTTTTTGTGCGAAAAAAAACAAACAAAAATAACAGCTAAATTATTGAATTAATTTTCAATTATTTTTCAAATAATTTCAAAGTGAACTAACCCTTTAGATGTTGCTTGTTTCCCCCCACAGCTAATATTCTACAGAACACTGGTGCCAATTTGTCCAAAAACAACCCAGAAACACATCATAAGGTCAGCGTCAGTCATGGGAGTGAATCAGGCCAGGTTTCGAATGCGATGGCAGCTCCTAGGATCGACCCCAACAGCAGCACCAAAGCACAAGTCAGTCCCATCGGCATATCTGCATCAGATCAAAACAAAACCACACCAGAACTACTGAAAACCAAACCAAACCCCCTGAAAACCACACTGGATCAGCCGAAAACCCCACCGGAAACCACACCGGATAAGCAGAACACCAAACCAGAACCGCAGAAACCCACACCAGAACCGCAGAAAGCCACACCAGAACCGCAGAAACCCACACCAGAACCGCAGAAACCCACACCAGAACCGCAGAAACCCACACCAGAACCGCAGAAACCCACACCAGAACCGCAGAAACCCACACCAGAACCGCAGAAACCCACACCAGAACCGCAGAAAGCCACACCAGAACCGCAGAAACCCACACCAGAACCGCAGAAACCCGAATCTGAACCGCAGAAACCCGAATTTGAACCGCAGAAACCCGAATCTGAACCGCAGAAACCCGAATCTGAACCGCAGAAACCCGAATCTGAACCGCAGAAACCCGAATCTGAACCGCAGAAACCCAAATCTGAACCGCAGAAACCCACACCAGAGCCCACCGTGACACCTGCAAACAAGCCAGTCTCCACCCCAGCAGTAGATAAACCAGAGATCACCTTAGATTACGTGGCTTACAGCACATCTCCAGAACCAGACCTGGGCTTTAGAGAAACCGGAGATGATGATGATGGTGGTGATGATGGTGACGAAAATTACGATAATCTCCCCTCTGAAAAAATAGATGTAAACATCAAGGACACAGTCATCTATACCAAGGATGAAGATTCCCACTTCTTCTTTCATCTGGTTGTCATCGCCTTCCTAGTTGCCATCGTGTACATCACCTACCACAACAAGAGAAAGGTACATTTACCGTCGAAACTTGATTGATAGCATGTGACAACGCAACAGAATAATTTCATGATTATCGATTAATCGATGAGTTGTTAGATCTCATTGCATCATTTGCTGTGGTTGGCCGATATATTGGGTCAACCACTACCTATATATATATATATATATATTAGTTTTCTAGATCAATGTGTCAGATGCACTAAACAAAGAAAGTAAGTTTTGCATATCAAACGTGGTACAATCGTCGTTTTAGATTTAGGGGAAATGAACCGCCCTCGGATCAGCTGAAAAAAAAATATAAAGCTTGCTCTGATTTGGTTTGCGCCAAAATCATGCCAAAGTTTATATTTAAAGGTGCGTTGTGTAATATTGACGGTTTGAAAAAGTCAAAATATTTGTTTTGGCATTTGTTTCTCTCACGCTTCCTCCTCGACTTCGGTTGCCAGATTGAGATCTCGCACCACAGCATGAGCGTGATTTTTTAACCTAAGCTTTACACTGGATTGATCAGCTATTATATCTGCGTTTTAATATTCCTCTGATCATCAGAGAGCTTTTTAAATGGATTTCGAGTATTATTAGGTATGGTAGAATCTGTGATCTCTGACCGAGTTCGTTCACTGCAGTACGCGGATTTTCCCGCCGACTGGCAACCCGGGTGTCGAAATACTATTGGGTGAATTGTCAATAGGCGGAGTCACACAAATCAAAACAAATCAAATCACTCCGACACGGAAGTTAAAAAAATTACATATTGCACCTTTAAGGATTAGCTTGCGCAATAGACAAAAACACTTTGGTTTCCAGTTATTTCACATTCACTTCATGCCAAACGTTCTTGGTCGCATAGAGGTAATGACAGGAGACAAGTTGCTATTTTATTTTTGTGGAAATGAAGAAGAAAAAAAGAATAGTAAAAAAAAAACACTGTTGTAAAATACATAAAGACAGTCTAAGGTTTATTAAATGAGGTTTAATCAGACTGCGTTATGTTATATTTTGATTTATGTTATTTTTCAGGTTCTCTTGTGAATGTAACATGGACCAAGATTAAATTTAAACAGATAGAAAAAAAGTTAACTTAAAATATTAAAGAAATTAATCATATGAGCCTTTTTAATAATGTTTCCATCTATAATATATATAATTGCATGCGTTTTTTCGTGTTCGTCAAAACAATATTTTTCATCCATGTTGTTGGGTTAGCTCTGATCTTCTGTCGTTGAACAGAAAGAATGTTGTGACAGTTGGTCAATGTGGTTTAATCCCGCCCCTCCTCCACTGTGATTGGACGGCTGGGTAAAAAGTGACAGTGAAGAGCGCTGCGTTTGACCTAAAGTTGACCATTCTTCAACTCTCGACGACCGGTAAAAAACATCGAGCTCAGCACTTCAGCGTGAAAAAAACGTTATGCCGTGTGTCCACCAAAGTGTTTTTCCTCGCGCCTGCCGTATGTTTTCAATAGTTTTCAATGGGAGCGTTGCGTTTTTTAAATGCTATGAGTGCAATGAGGCGTTGAGCATTTTTTTCACGCTGAAGTGCCGAGCGCCCGGCGTTTTTTACTGTTTTTACTGGTCGGCGAGTGTTGAAATATGTTCAACTTTGGATATAACGGAGCGCTGTCACTTTTTACCCAGCCGTCCAATCACAGTGGAGGAGGGGCGGGGCTAATACCACACCGACCATCTGTCACAACATTCTTTCTGTACAACGAAATCAACCGGCAGAGCTAACCGAACAACATGGATGAAAAATAAAATTTTTAGTATGAAACAAATGCGAAATCAGTAACAAGTAAACTGTGCTGCGGATATTCTGTATCATAGCAACAAAACGTCTCAACGGGAAAAAACGCTGCGCTGCCAAAACGCTCTCAAAGCACGGCATCTTCAGCGGAGCGTCTGCCGTTTTCAGCGGGCTAAAAACGCTTTGGTGGACGCACGACCTTACGCTTATGCCGTTTTTAAAGCTCCCATTGAAAACAATTCCACAGAGGAATGACATTTTCTAAAGGGTTCGTTGTTGTTAGCATGATATTCTTGTAACAAATAGACAATATCGTAACGGATAGAAATAACTTTAAATAATGTAAGGTTATCCGCATCTTTAAGTCTCTATTGTAACGTTATAGTGACTTTTTAAAGACGGAGATCACATTCAGCATGACACGCGAACGGTTGCCATGGTAATGAACACTCTGCTTATTAAAGCGAATGTACAATTACTAAATATGCAGCGCGAGTTAGGTATTGCTAACTCCAAACAATTAGCCACTGAACCAGCTGATGGTCTTCTTCAAGGCTGTGCCGGCTGCATCTGAGGTAAGGGTCATGGGGTTTCGCTTGAAGACCGGTCAGCATTCGCCTCGATACAGTCGCATCTCCTTTATTGCGTATTTTTATATTTTGAATAATCGCACACTGTAACCCCGTGTGCCTCGATCTGGATATATCGCGGAGGTATTGCCGACACACACGGCTATCCCTCTTCCCGTCGGGGCGATCTGTGGCGTTTGACCATTCGTGTGACGGGCGTAGTAACAGTAACTAGGGGGCGTGGCTTTAGCGAACGGTCAATTGAAAACATACGCCAGCCACGTGGAAAACGCTTTGGTGTACATAGCGATCCCAAACTTTTGAACAGCAGTGTGTGTATCGTGTATATGATGAAGCACTGAATCCGTCCTGATTATGACCTCTCCCCGTGTGTCCGGTGTGTAGCTGATGCTTCTGGCCCAGAGCCGGCGCTGGCGGGACGGGTTCTGCTCCCGAGGAGTCGAGTACCATCGGCTCGACCAGAACGTCAACGAGGCCATGCCGTCGCTCAAGATGACCAGCGATTACATCTTCTGAGAACACACGCCGACCGGCTACACGTGGTGTCTTATTTAATCGAGGGGAAGAGGGTGTATTTTGTGTCTTTTCTGCTTGCTGTTCTTGGTGTCTATGAAAGCAGATGTTTTGAATGCGACGGTAAACCATTTTGTTCTTCGGCAGAACTACATTTTTACATGTCTGCCGGATCATTCTTGAAGAAAAACTAACGAAGGTATGTAGATATTTGATTATAAAGCTGCTGTGTGTCACATATAGGCTAAACACACAATACACACGATTCATTTGCTTCCTTGTTTGTGGACATTAGCTTCTGTGCTGTGTGTGTGTGTGTGTGTTTGAGGTGCACAATTAATCTGTGAAAGATCGCGACCCATAGAATCTTACGACAACGATTCACCTGTGTCTATTAAACCAGATCTGTGTCGTTATTTGCAAACATGCAAATCATCACATAAGAGCTGGGATTAAAGGTTATAGTTCAGATATAAACACTGATGTCGCTCGCGATCACAACAGTGTCTGAGTTTAAAAGTCTTGTGGAAACCCACTTGTACTTGTGTGCTTTTAACCTCTGGTGTTGGATCTAGGCATTTTTGCACACCTTTGGTCAACCAAGGTTGTTTTAAATGTGGTTTATAAATAATTTAAACTGTAGTAAAAGTAACTTGACGCTTCAAATCAATTTATTAGTTACATCGTTACACCAGTAGGTGGCGACAAGTGACTTAATTTGTATGTGTCATTGAATAATTCACTCCAGAGATTTGATGAAAAACTGATTAATCTGATAATGAAACAAGTGAGGTCTTAATCATTGAATTATTCACTCAACCAGGTTTTTTTTTAATAATTCAAATTAATTCAATATGTTTAAAGAGACTGCACCAATTTACATTTTTTCAAAAATTACAATTCTACTAAATTACATGTTATTTTGATTAGTGATATATATATATATATATATATATATATAAACAATTCTCAATTTATACAGAATGGTGCAGCTGTAGTGTGTGTGTGTGTGTGTGTTGAACACGTCTGAGAACTCATGCTAATTCCAGAACAGCAATATTGGCATGAAACGTGTGTTTGCTATGCAGCCGCTTCTGGTCCCCTTTGTTTTTGTGTTACGACTTCAGTGAAGTTGTTTTATATTGCACATGATGTTTAGATGAGCAGGGTCCACTGTTGCCTAAATCAAATTTGGTTTTATTGTGTCTTTCTTTGTGTGAGCGTTGCCTAATATCAAAACACGACTGTAGCAGCAGCTGAAGTCGTCATATCAGTTTCATGTGTGCAGAATACTAATAATACTACTAATATGAGCGTTAGTAGAGCAGCTCTGATGTACAGTCTGTGCATGAACACCACATACTGATTTTACTGTCAATTCAACAATAAATCACCTCTGTATACAGTCACTGAGTGTGTCTTTCATTGTGATATATGAATTATCCACTCACATGCACATCAGAAAAGGACATTTTTGTCGATTTTTTATTTTTTTTATTTGAGTTTCCCATTTTTAAATCACGTTCAGCCATATGTTGGATGATTATTATGAATTTAAGTCCACACATAGCGTTAGGGGATGGTTACAGCATAATTAAGATTTTAAAAATGAATGTGAACAACATGAGCCTGTCAAAAAAAAGAAACCAAAGCTGAAACACTTAAATGTTAATTTCAAATCAGTGATCTCTCTATTACTTTTAATCAAACCACCAGATCTTCTTAATCTAATTCACAAATATAAGTGTAAAATAATTTGCAGGTAATGTACATAAATGTTTCTGTTACTGTGTGTATCTTTGTCTGTACTGTAGACATGAATACATACAGAAATAAATGAAAAAGAAAATTGTGTGAAATGTCATTTGTATTTTTGTAGTTTAACATGTCAAACACACTTGTAGATAAAATTACACTGAACTGCGACGTGTTTTTTCATGCTTTTCTATCCCAGCTGGGACTTTGACTTAATTTTGTTACTATTGATCAGGGTTGTTAAATACAATGTGCAACCCCTTGATTTAATGTAAAATAAAGTAAATGTATTCATTAGTCTTAAATAATCACATATTTATAAGCCAACATGACATCATGACTTTTGTGTAAACATACACGCCCCTTTCAAGTCAAGTGGCATATTATCTAAACGCATTTTGAGCTATCCGCGTGCGCGTGTATGTACACGCCATTAAATGGCCGAGCGAAACGAAGCAAAAAGTAGATCTACATCTGGGGAGCGATATTTTTTTCTTAGGATGGTAGGGGAAGACTCATAAATGGTATGAACCCCAGTGATGGGCAGGTTTAGGGAAAGGGATGGGGAGCCCATTCTCATCCCAAGACTTCATCTAACTGATGCTTTTGACCATATGTCAACATCCGCCGTTTTAGGGCACCCTTTAACGTCAGTTAGATGACGCTATCTAATCCTAACCCTACCCCAGACCTAAACCTACCTGCGTCACCCAACTGACGCTAAAGGTAAAGCGTCAGTTGGATGACGCCCTAGGATAGCATCATCTAACTCAGTGTTTCCCAAACTTTTTTTCTGGGGACCCTGATTTTAAAGTCGATAAATCTTTGTGACCCAATAAACATTAGGACCATATAGTTCATATATCACAAAGAGAACTTTGTGCATTATTTAACAAAATATGTATGACCATATTTAAGGTCAGTTAAGCTTCAAGTTAAAGGGTTAGTTCACCCAAAAATGAAAATTTTGTCATTAATTTTGGCCCGCAAGACCTCCGTTCATCTTCGGAACACAAATTAAGATATTTTAGATTTAGTCGGAGAGCTTTCTGTTCCTCCATTGGAAATGTATGTACCTTACACTGTCCTTGTCCATAAAGGCAATACAGACATCATCAAAGTAGTCCACATATGACGCACATATCTAACCAAATTTAGCCGCACCACCAGAAAATAGGAGGAGGGAGGTTGGGGTGCCCTCGGCCGTATGGAGATGATTGGCGGGCCGCCAATTGAATAGCCCTGATCTAGAGAGTAGCCTATAGCACACTGAAAAATAGTGCTTAAAGGTGCAATGTGTTACAAAGTTGAGTATCTATTAACAGAAATGCAATATGACATCCATAACTATGTTTTCAGTGGTGTATAAAGAACTTACTTAATTAACCGTAATGTTTTTATTACCTTAGAATGAGACATTAATAGCTCCATAACCGCGGGAATCCCCTTCTATGAAGGTCGCCATGTTGTGACGTCATATTCCTACCGTAGCCGAACGCGAACACACAGCGCTACAGAACGCATTTCATCACTACCTTGAAAGAGAAGTAGCGGAAAGCTGGAAGCTAGCCTTACACTCCGTGAGTAGTGACTTTTCCCTTGTGAGTGGTGTAAAATATGTAGTTGGGATTGTTTCATGTAACTTAGTTCTCCCTCGCTGTGTTATGGGTTTGTTATGTTGGGGATAGATGTGCTGTTACGTTCGTGAGACAGCTGATGATTAGTATTCATGTCATTGACCGTAAAACAGTACGTTACAGGAATCACTAACCCGTCGATAGGGACTTTTACTAAAGTCTTTTATCACTAAAGTCGATCACGAAGAGTTTTCAAAATCAGAGAAAAAAGCCTATTGTGTGTAGTAAATAGTATCTATGGGATGCGGAGATGACATGATTGTAACAGCACGCGCACTTCCGACCTTTGGACTCATGCGATGCGGACGCGTCCCAGCTCAGCCACAGTAACAGCTCATATTAGCCAGCTAAACTATTACTACCCTGTTAGAAAAAATATATAGCTGCTCCCTCGCTGTATTATGGGTTTGCTACAGTATGTGTGGATAAATGTGCTGCTGGTTACGTTTGTGAGACAATCAGCTGATTAATATTATTTTATTAAATTATATATTAAAACCCTTGATCCTCACCTGACTATGACTTTGTAAACAGTATTCATGATGTGGTTTATAATGGACTGTGGTACAGAAACAGTGACAATGTTACACACTCTTGGCTTACTCTGGCTATTCTCTGCTGTCTCAGCCGACGAGATGTTTGTCCCGTTTTAGCAACCGTAGCTTCTTCGAAAGGGAGGGGTGAGCAGTGGGCTGAGCCCTTAGTGCAAACCTGGTGCAAACTCGCAACCGAACCACTAGATGTCGCTAAAAATCACACATTGCTCCTTTAACATGGCGACCCATACAAAATCTCCTGCGAAATACCCCACCTTTGGGAATGACTGATCTAACTGACGTTAAAGGGTACCCTAAAACATCGGATGTTGATGTATGGTCAAAAGCGTCAGTTAGATGACGTCTTGGGATGAGAATGTCTGCATAGAGCCACGCGTCACACTAAACATGACAACACAAAAGCACACAGCCAGTGTAAAACACAAGCCGTGTGCTACACATCACAAGACAAAATGTGACATGAAAGCATGCGACTGATGTAAACACGAACCGTGTGCTACACAGGACACAACAACACGCAGCCGGAAGAGCGCGCGGCTGGAGCGAACTCAAAACCGCGCTCTCACGTGACAAGACAGAGCGCACAAGAACGAGCGAAAGTCAGTCCATGCTCTCATAACAGAAAACGTCTCGGGTTACAACTGTAAGCCCTGTTCCCTAAGGAGGGAACGAGACACTGCGTCGTCGATAGCAACTCTTTGGGGACGATCCCTTAGTGTGCGCCTCTGAAGTTTGAATGAAACTAGTCCAATCCTGATTGTTATCTGATGATAGCATAACCGGATGCATAAAAGTGATGCCGGCACATACACATTAGCCTCGCGATGAAGCAAGACGCTCCAAGGCATCGAGGGGCTTGGGAAGGCGATGCAGAGTCTGGTTATCTACTCAGGGAACAAGGATTACAATAACCAGAGATGTTCCCTATTGTAGGGAACTCAACGCTGCGTCGTTGAAAACAACTCTTTGGGGAACGAATGCCCACTAGGCCACACACCGAAAAAGGCCTGCCCTGGAGTGACACTGATCTCAGGCAATCAGCTAGGACGAGAGTACACGTGCACCAGGCGTACTAGGAAGGAGTAGACTATAAAACCTGATAAAAGTGTGCAGGGTAGCCCAACCGGATCTCTTGGAGGGGCACTCCCGAGAGGAGGGCCCAAGAGGACGCCATGCCTCTAGTAGATTGAGCCCTTACGGCCAAAGGTGAAGCCACCTTGTAGGCCGAGGCAATAGCCTGAACAATCCAATTACTAATGGTTTGTTTGGATGCAGGGAGCCCCTTTTTAGGGGACCCAAAACACACTAACAGTTGGTCCGACCTCCTCCAAGAAGAGGACCTCTCGAGGTAAACACTCAAAGCTCTGACAGGGCAGAGCAAATGGAGCTTCTCTTCTAATGCCCACACATGAGGTGGAGGAAGGCACCTTAATCACGTAGGCAGGTCTCGGTTGCAGAATGGCCTTAACTCCACCAGGGGCAAACTCAAAGTAGGCTGGTGTTACTACCAGGGCTTGAAGATTTCCCACCCTTTTAAGAGAAGTAATAGATAAGAGAAAAGCCATCTTGAATGTCATGTCCTTGGGCGAAACCGGCTTGAAGGGGTTAGAAGGGGGCCATGGATAACCCTTCGAGAACCACTGCCAGGTCAGACTGATCTCATGAAGTAGCGTGTGTATGCCACGCCAATTCGTATTTCCATTTTTGGCGTGCTATCAAGACGCATAATCGCCTTTCAGCGCGTTTATGAACGCGTTGACTTAACGTTATACAAATATATGACTTACCTCAACCCCATCCCTAAACTTAACCGTTACTGGGGTTAATGGCATTTATGACTGTTCCCTTACCATCCTAGGAAAGAAAAAGATATGACTTACCTCAACCCCGTCCCTAAACTTAACCGTTACTGGGGTTAATGGCATTTATGACTCTTCCCTTACCATCCTAGGAAAGAAAAAGATATGACTTACCTCAACCCCGTCCCTAAACTTAACCGTTACTGGGGTTAATGGCATTTATGACTGTTCCCTTACCATCCTAGGAAAGAAAAGATATGACTTACCTCAACCCCGTCCCTAAACTTAACCGTTACTGGGGTTAATGGCATTTATGACTCTTCCCTTACCATCCTAGGAAAGAAAAAGATATGACTTACCTCAACCCCATCCCTAAACTTAACCGTTACTGGGGTTAATGGCATTTATGACTGTTCCCTTACCATCCTAGGAAAGAAAAAGATATGACTTACCTCAACCCCGTCCCTAAACTTAACCGTTACTGGGGTTAATGGCATTTATGACTGTTCCCTTACCATCCTAGGAAAGAAAAAGATATGACTTACCTCAACCCCGTCCCTAAACTTAACCGTTACTGGGGTTAATGGCATTTATGACTCTTCCCTTACCATCCTAGGAAAGAAAAAGATATGACTTACCTCAACCCCGTCCCTAAACTTAA